TTCTTCTCATAACATCCCTTCGTTCTAGCTTCCAAAATTGTTTTGTTTCAGGGGACATATGGCTTGTATCCATCGCCATGGTTTAACGATCCGTTTTGTCCATCTCTTTTTTCCGCAAATACTCCCTTTCTTGTGCATATTGTGATTGCATTGCCATCTCGTTGTCTTGGCGTTTCAGCTCCATTTCAACTCTTATGGCGCTCTGCCTTGCAATTTCCTCCAAAATTTTTGATGTATTACTACTCGAATTACCCCCTTTTTTTGCCTTCGCAGCCTTTCGGCCAATGGGCCTCGGCTCCTTTTCGATGGGTGAGTCTTGACTCATAGGGGAATCGATAGGTGAATCCGATGTCATTGAATCACGGAGTGGCGTCTCGTTTAACATAACGACGGGACCCATGGGAATTATTCTGAAGCGTTTGCAATTTTTCACCACGTCCCAACATTCATGATGGTTGAAACTTTTTTTGCCTTGCCCAATTGCACCAAACCACATCTGTGCTTGAATCATCTATTTTAAAAAAAATAATGGACATGCAAGAAATATTTAAAATATATTGGATATGCAAGTAACAAAAAAAAAATAATGGACATGCAAGAAATATTTAAAATATATTGGATATGCAAGTAACAAAAAAAAAAAAAGGAAATGCAATTAACCTTACAAATATATTGGAAGTGCAAGAAATATTAACAAAATATTGAATATGCAAGAAATATTAACAAAATATTGAAAATGCAATAAACATAAAAAATATATATATATATATTAGGACATTAAACTTAATAAAACTCAAATTACAAAATACTTACCTCGTTACTAAGATTTTCCCCACTTCTATGGTTGTCCATCGCTTTGGCCAAGGCATCCCTCCATTTTCCCCACTCTTTATTGAGAATTTTCCACCTACTAGACAATGCCATTTCCGTACGAGTCGACCCCGGAATTTTTTCACAAAATTCGGCATGAATTTTTTTCCACATATGAAAAAATTTCATCTCATTGCCTGTCACGGGACAATGACAAATTTGGAGCCAAGCCTCACATAAGGAAACATCTTCCATGGTGCTCCATGCCCCTCCGGTTTCGATATAAGAAGCCATAAATATAAGAAATAAAAATACAATTTGAATGAGAGGAAAATGTTGAGTAAAGAGTGAATAATAGTAGAAGTAGAAGAAAATGTATGAGGATTGGTGTTGAAAGTGAAGGGTATTGAAAGGTATTTATAGAAAAAAAATTCAGAATATTTTGGTTCGATTTTTTTTCATAATTTTATTGCCAAAAAAATGCTAGCCGTTGGATTGGAGGAGAGAAGCAGATTGGAGCGCCCAGGGCTTGACAGCTGGCTTCTACCCGTTGGAGCTGGCGCAGGGCTGATGTCAGCGTACGTGAGTTCAAATTTTTTTTACCGTTGGCGTGTGCATTGCACGCGCCAACGGTAAAAAAAATTTGAAGCTGCGCGCACGTCAGCAGGTCTCGGTTTGGGTCTCGGGCGAAACTGGCCTTCGGGCTAGCCCGTGTTGGTGGGTCCCACTCCCCCCCCCCGGGCCTGGGCTCCTCGCTGGAGCCTCTTTTTTTTTTGCCTCCCCCCCAGCCCTAGGCTCAGCTCCTTGCTGGAGTTGCTCTTAGTATATTAAATAATGGGAGCAACCTTAGCACTTCCAACGCAAGGGGGCAGTCCGGGCAGGAGAGGACCTTAGCCCAGTTTGCAGCTTCCAGTGAGATTCTACAATCCGATCAAGTCCAAAGGCAAAATAAGCCCAAGCTCATGCCTGAGCAACAACGAAAAAAAAATATTTAGACATCCAAAAAAATTCTTAAAAAATACCAAAATTGTCAAAAAATTTTTATAATAAATACCTAGCCATATTCTTCACTTTCCATACCAGAACTCTATACAAATTCCTCTCCTCATATCTCATGTGAATAGTCGTTACCTTTGGGTTGCTATGGCAATGGGTGGAAACACAACAAGCCTTTTGCAACGCCTGGTACTATTCACATGAATAGTAATAGCCTTTGCCTTGTCCTTACCCTTTGCCATGGCAAATTGGTTGGAAATGCTCTAAGGCCTCAAAATCCATTTCCAGTGCCCAATTCATGCTAGGGCAAGAGATGGGCTCTACCAACCTGGGCAAGGCCCAAGGAAAATCTCCAAACTGCCGATCAAGACCTATGCCAAAAGATCAAACACATTAAGAGGAGTAAGTTTCATACCTGAGTCGAAGACTAATTTGGTCGTTAAAGCCAAAAACCTAGAAACTTCTAAGTTATTAATGATTTCGGGATGGAATCACGTCGGGTCTTCGAGGGAAATTACAGAGGGGAGGTAGGTGAGTGGTTTGGGTGTGATAGCACGGCCGGTGGTGGCCGGAGTTGGCCGGAAAAACTCTCGAAAGTTCCGGTTTCGAAACAACCCGTTTTGGGCTTCACTTTGGCTCGAATTTCTGGTTTAATCGCTTGGAATCAAGGCTAGATATGGGTATGTATGGAAAGAGGAGAGAGAGATGAAGAGTTTGCAAATTGTGGCACCAGTTTTGGTGGCCGGATGGCTGAGATATCTTCTTCTGAAGTTGGCTGCTCATGAAGGATGAGAGAGACAGATTTGTGTGTGTGTGAGAGAGAGAGAGAGAGAGAGAGAGAAGAAAAGTCTGGGTTTTTAAAAACTGAACTTCAAAATATTTACGATTATGCCACTAGGCTTCCGTAGCTCGTAACCTTTTTGTTACAGCTCCGATTTGAGCCCACTACGTGTCTATGAACTCATCTCAATGCAATCTACGCAACGGTACCATTCAAATCCCCAAATTCTTTCCCGAACAAAAAGTCAACTTTAAACCCATTAAAATATTCTTGGTATAAAATTGTATTTTACTTGAATATTTTAATAATTAAATATTAATTTAGTATCGGGTTATCACAAAAGTGGTCGTTAAAATTGATTGTACAAAATCATGTGCATCTTTATAAATCCACAAGACGATGGGTAGCTACTGCCTCTATTGTCCCACTACCATAAAAGTTTCTTTTTGTTAAGAAATAATAGCAGAAGGCCTAAAATATTCGGAAATAGCAGTGCACCATGTGTCTGACTAATCACTATTCTTCATACTTACATATATCTTGTAGGCATATAAATCTTGAAAATACCACACGTAAAATTGAAATGGTGGGGAAAATCTGAAGCAATGAAAGGGCCCCAAATTAGGTACGCAAATAGAACTCTATAATTCTTGTCTTTTTTTTTTCTTTTTTCTTTTTCCATATGTAATACTCTCATTCAATATACAAGTGGTTGTTGTTAGGCCAAACTGAGGGATGACTTTGGATCCAAAAACTAATAATGTACCGTATGAAGCGATTTTGGTCAACTTTAGCCTAGTGTACATTCATATGTCCACTTGACATGATTCACACAACGAAATACAAAAGCAAACCTTAATACAACAAGTATAATCATAACATAGTGAAACGGTTACAATGGTTTGCAGTGTTTATTCACTAATTAATGAACCGCCACCTTTCACTAATTATCCTCTCTTTCATTTATTTCGCACTATTTTTCAGGTAAGTAATTAATGCGAGAGTCTTTTGAGTTATTTGACTTAGTACGGTATAAGTTCAACAGTAGTTCATGGTCACAGAGAAGTCACAAGAGTTCGAACCTAGTTCAAAATTTGCATCAATGAGACCGACACTCTAGCACTGGAAATGAAAACGACCGGCTGTTGCACCCACGAGCGTTGCAAGTGAAGTCTTGCTCAACTTAAGTCATTAATCGATGAGCTCCAATTGGCCATGACCATATTGAATTTAATTTTGTAAAGTCTCCAATTTCAAAAATTCAATATTCCCTTTGAACTAATTTTTATTTTTGTCGAAATTCCTTTTGACCTAAAAGGCAACGGAGCACTGTACAAAAATCAATAGAATCGACCACCCTCTCATCCTACCTCAATGCCAGTTTAAAATGCCTTTACGTAAAAAAAAGGAAGAAAAGATATTAAAGGAAACTGCCAGAGCTGGTGTTGTTTGTTGGTGTATGTACGTGTTCCCTTTATACCAACTTCGAAATTAATTAACACACCAAACCCTAGTTGTATTGGAACAGCACATAATTAATATACTTAAATTAGTATACTGAAATTGGTTGAAAAGCTGTTCAAAAAAAATATAAAAAATATGGTTGAATAGTGATGATGTAGGTAAAAACTTCGTATCGAAAATGACAAAAAGCGTTGACAATCTGCATAACATCACCAACCACCTTATATAAAAACGCCTCCCCCTCTATTCCACACCTTTCTCCACGCTAATTAATCTCACAATTTTCAAACACAGAAATTAAATTAAATTAACAACAAAACGGAGAGGAGAAGAATAAGGCGATGGACAACTCCAGCATGAGTTACAGTGGCGATGAGACAGACGACAACTCCGGTGGATTCGCTTACGGCTTAGGAGTTTCCGTCGGCGTCTTGGTCTTAATAATCATCGTAACCCTCCTCTCCTACTTCTGCACTCGCGTGCGTTTCCCTCCAAACTACCCGTCGTTTCGAAGATCTTCAAGCGCCGTCAGGCAGCTGCAACTCCAAAACGACGGCGCAGCAGCTGGTGGTGTCGGGTTGGGTCTTGACGACTCCGCTCTACGCAACTTCCCTCAGCTGCTCTACTCCCAAGCGAAGCTCCATAAAAGTGAGTCAGCGTCAACGTCAACGACTACGAGTTGTTCTATATGTTTGGGTGATTACAAAGACACAGATGTTTTAAGGCTGCTGCCTGATTGTGGTCATCTTTTTCATCTCACTTGCGTCGACCCTTGGTTGAGGCTGCGTCCCACCTGCCCGATTTGTCGGAACTCACCCGCCCCGACTCCGATGGCTACTCCGCTTGCTGAGGTTGCTCCCTTGGCTGGGAGACGAGACTGATTGGTTTGTACAAGAGTCATCACTGAGATTTTGGGTGATCAATGAGATTTTTGTACATTTTTCCGAATTTGATATACATGGTTTTTTTTTTTCCTCTTTCTATGTAAGCACTACTGTTTATACGCTGAGATATTTGTACAGATTCATGAGATTCCCATTTTTGTTGGGGAGCTTCACATTTAAGCCCAAAGATAGAGCCTAAAATGTAGAAAAATCCCACACTAGCCACCATGGGTTAAATAATATTTTAAATGGAGTATACATTTTACAATTGCAAACACGATTCTGGGTTTTAAATATTACTTCAGTGATTCTAAGTTAACTAAAAGCTTTAATTATTTTAGAAACATAAAAAAAGAAAAAAAACAAGACCTAGCCCTAATTAACATTTGCTTCGAAAAAAAGAAATTTGAAGCTGAGTTTGGTTAGAAAAACCCAATTTCCATTGAATGCAGATTTAATTTGTAAAACACGGAAAAATTAAAAAAAACAGATTTAATTTACAATTGCATACTTCTTCATATTGTGACAATTTATTCATCACATATTTTTTCAAATTGTAACGATTTCTGTGTCATTTTGTCCTGTAAAATATGTGTTGATGATTTTGTCACATAATTCTGCAGAATTTGATGATGTACGATGCATTCCAGACTAAAGTACCTAATTATGAATAATATGTGCAATTGTTCAATGTACAATATAAAAGTAGATAATTACACTACAAATTGTATGTTCCAAAAATAGCAAAATAAAGATCCCAAATTAAGTATAGAGACTTGGTACAACCAAAAGTAAGTCTAGCAATGTATAATCCAAAATGTCATCGAAAAGGGCATAATTAATTCTTAAACTAGTTCTCATCAAGATTGTATAGTTTGCTAGTTCATCATAGTTGTCATAATCAGAATGGACACCTCCGTTACTACCTCTAGAGTTGGTGTTGATTTGCCCTTGAGATGCATGCAAAGCAGACCTCAATTGAGCTCTCAACTCTTGGTTCTCCTTAAAGAAGTAGCGCATGAGCTAGAGGTCTCCATGCAAGGAAAAATACCTATGCCATGGATAGATCTTCCCTTCCTCTTGAGCTTCTCACCCTTGATTACAAACTCAGCATCCAATGGCACATCATGCTTCTCATGATGTCCTTAAAAGTCTTATTTCTTCTTTTTGCGATGTCATTTTGCTGTGGTGTTTATGGATTAGTGTATTGTGCTATAGTTCCTTCTTATTGTAGAAATCTAGTAACATGATTTCTCCCAGCCTCATCAACCCTTCCGTGAAACTCTTCCTCCCTGTCAGATTAAACTATCTTGATATTTATGTTCAATTGTTTCTCCACTTCTACTTTGTAAATTTTGAACCTATCTAAGGCACTCGATTTTTCATTTATTAAGTACACGTGTCTATACCTTGAGAAATCATATGTAAAGGTGATAAAGTATTTAAAGCGTCCATGAGTTGGAGTTGGAAAAGGTCCACTTGTGAACCAACTCCAGCACACTTTGGCTTCTTATTGCTCCTTTCTTTCTTAGGTTTGTTAATTTCCCCTTTACACATTCAATGCATACTTCATCCATGTCTTTGAGATTCAATGGTGGCAGAACTAATTCTTTGCAGAGGAAGTTAATTCTTTCATGTGATATATGCCCGAGCCTTTTGTGCCACAATTTAAATAAAACTTCTTTGCTTCGTTTGAAGTGCACAAAGTTAATTTCCATTTCAGTTTTCTTGCAATTTAATTGAAACATGCCATCAACAAGAATTGCCTTTCCAACTAGCTCATTATTTCTGAAAATAGAACAATAAAAAATCATCGAAGTCCAAACTCAACTTTGACTCTACATGTAACACCCCGGCCCTAATTTAATTATCCCTCTAATTTAATTAATTTCATAATTTTGCCCTCGGGGTAGGGGTAATTTGGTCACTTTTTAATCCGGAAGGATTTTGGGGCAGTGAGTGGTATTTTTACGTAGATCGTACCGAGATGAGTCCGTAAATACGTAGTTGGCTCGAATCGGAGTTGTAACGAAAAAGTAACGATCAAAATACACGTAGTGGCACAATCGTAATTATTTTCTAAGGGCTTTATACTAGGTTTGGTCGTGTAAATTAGGAACGGCTTATTAATTGGATTTTGATGTGGTTGAGAAATTAACTAAATGTTTATTATATAAATATAAATATATATATATATATATATATATATATATATATATATATATATATATATATATATATATATATATATATATATATATATATATATATATATATATATATATATATATATATATATATATATATATATATATATATATATATATATATATATATATATATATATATATATATATATATATATATATATATATATATATATATATATATATATATATATATATATATATATATATATATATATATATATATATATATATATATATATATATATATATATATATATATATATATATATATATATATATATATATATATATATATATATATATATATATATATATATATATATATATATATATATATATATATATATATATATATATATATATATATATATATATATATATATATATATATATATATATATATATATATACAAATCAATCCTAGTTCTCATATTAGTGATATGCTCAATAACATTCATAACTCTAAAGTAATACTTTCCAACTTTCCCAATTATCAAAATAGTTCATATATTAGTTGCTGAAATTATATATATATAAACAAAACCAACGAGCTCCAAAGACACTTTTAACCTTTCCTTCGAAACTCATTTATAAATATATATATATATATATATATATATATATATATATATAAATAGATATATAATTAACTTATTACAT